TTTTCTGTATCTAAGATACCTACATGTGTCCATAAAAGGAAGCAGGGTTCAGTTGCATTTTAGAGCTTTCTGTACTAGCATTAACTTCTGTGTCCATGCAGTTTCCATCCCACTGATTTTTCTGATAGTAAACTGCATGGGCATGGCTACCTGCTTCTGGAAATGGAACTTCATTGAAGGGAAGGAAACTCCTTGTGCCAGGAGTAGTGTTTTGTTTCATAGTATTTGCCAACACATGAAACAAGTTTTATTTTGTTAGCTGCTTTCTATGCAAAGCAATAGCTGTCTCACATGTGTTGGAGTCTGAGATACAGATTGTGTGCCCTTGTTTCTGATACTTAGTTATAAGATCTAGAAAAACACTGAATTTCATATAATATGAAATTCATGAGCATGTTTTCATGGTGAAACACGAAAACAAATGTTAAAGTTAGATAGAAAAGCTAAAAGAGTAAGTGTGTAGATTAGAAAGTTTTTTTAAATCACTGGGTGAAAAAGTTAGTTTAGAGGACAGGAGACAAGATGGAGGATTTAGGGTGTTGTCCCTTGTCCCTTCTTCTTTCTTCTTCATGTTCTTCTCCTAAAGGTTTTTAGGTAATAGTAAGTGATTGGATAGAAAATGCCGCAGTGCATCACAGAGGTGATGGGTCATTAAGAAAAATAATATACGTGTCTACTGTTAATTGGGTAAAAATAGGTATAAAGATAAAAGAACTGCGTATATTGGGGCCATTTTGTGCATCAGACACGAAGTGTGCCACAAGGCCTTGTTTGTACCATCAGAAGAAAGAAGTGTACCAGATTGCAAGGATTAACCTTGTGTAACCAGCCTGAAGAGACCTGTTAAGTTTTGTGATCACCTGTTAATAAACACAAGAAACAAGATTCTAACGAGCTCGGGAGTTTTCTTCGAATCATAAGAACTGAGATAAGCAGGGCTCCCCATGAGGGAGGATCCCAAAAGAATTCAGTCCAAAGGAGGCTGAGAAATCAAAGAATAAAAAGAAAAATACAGAAGAGATGAAACAGAGAAACAGAAAAAGGACTTTTTAGAGAAAAGTTACAACATGTAATTTATATATTTGGAAACACCTGTATGTCTTGGTGTCAGCTGCAATGTTTCTTCATAGTCACATTGGGTCACAGATGGCAAGGGAGGCAAAAAGAGGTTATCTTTTGGGAAAAGAACCCATGCCTGCATTTTCCTAATCCAATTCATGATTTCTGTGTAATTGTGTGGTTTTACTTCACAAAGCATAAGATGCTGCTGGCATGCAAACTTCAGGCATCTCTGACCTTTTTTGAGCTTGATAATTCAGAAGTTTTCTGTTCTGCATTTCAGTTGTGCTTTGATTGTGACTTTGAAAGAGCTGTTCTTTGATGGGATCTTGTATGAGGCATCTCTCTTGAAGCAAGTTAAAACCTGTGTGCTAAAACACGGTGATTGCATCTTAATCAATACTGAGACACAGTGAATTAATCTGTGTACAGCCCTGAGGGGTTGGTGTAGGATTACTTTCTGTGCCTGGAAGACTGTACACCTGCAAGGAATAGAAGCACAACAGTGGACTGGAGCTTGTGGCTGTGCATGGAAACTCAAATCTGTGCTATACACCTGTGTGTTTATATATATATGAGCAGGGAAATCCCTAAACATCTCTGGAAGTTAATAATTTGGGCTAATAAAATGCACATAGGGCTATTAACTTGGTTGCCATTCAGGAACATGCCATGATTTTCTTGATATCTTCTGCTTCTCAGTTGCACAACTATTGCTGAATACAAAATGGTTGTGTTTCAATGCTATAAGGTCCATTCCAACCCAAACCATTCTATGATTGTAGGATTTCTATAACAGCAAAAACAATATATATATATATACACACACATACATACATTTTTATAGATATTATTTTATATTTTACATATGTATATATTTATATATATATGTATTTATAT